AGGAAGACTTTCATTTAATAATAAATCGAGCACTCCTCCACCACCACCACCTCAAATAAAGGATTCAGAGCAATTTTTAAAAAAAATTAAATAAACTGGCAAGTGTTTGCTTTCTAGTGTTTTGAAATCTTTATCTATCATGTGAGAAAGTGCTGCAGCTACACTAATGTTTGCTAAGTGTCACATGCCCAGCCCTGGGATAAACATTCTAATGTGGTGCATTCTCTTGTTCAGTGCTCACATTTCCATATGGTGGGACTATTATTATCCCACTTTTCAGGTGAGCAAATAGAACAACTTAGTTCAGACAAAGCATTTTCTTTCAAAAAGATCTTTTGTAGACACCAATAAATGACTCCAGTTTAGAACAACATATAACTAGAAGAGAGAATGATTGATTTTGCTGCTTGTCTTTAGTAAAAATAGCAAAAGTGAATGACTCGGGACTATTCAAAGAATGAAAGACACTCACAGCAACAACAATCACAACTGAAGAGGGTCAAAAGCCCTCTCATCCTGAGCAAAATCTACAATTCCACAGTCACAACTAGGGAAGCCACTCAGTTATATATTTAACTATCTTTACAAGGGCTAATCCACTCAACACACTACCAGCTACCAGGAAGACCAATAAAAGTATTTAGACAGCTGTTAATGTTCATTTATCATAAAATCATTATATTCATTTTCTATAAAATTTGATTTTCATTTTCAGCTTAAGAAAATTATGGTTTATAGTGAATATTGTCATTATAATTACTTTTAAGCACTTCCTATATGGCTAGAACCATGATATTTTACATACATCTTTTTCCCCTTAATTGTCACCAACTACTCAGGATGTAAAAGAACTATTGCTAATATCTCCCATTTAGAAATGGGGCTGCATGTAATAAATTTTCCCAAACTCTCTATTCAAAGGTAACACCAAAATTCAGATCTAGAACTGACCCAGCCCCGTGCACTAGAGCTTGTACTTAACCAAGATCTGACCCAGCTTCATAAAGTTACTTGATTTGTTATTCTTATCTGCTATCCTTGATCAAGCACTAGCTGGAAAGCTCTATTCATTTTAGCTTTACTCTTAATCTTCACTTCCAGTACTCTCCCATTTTCAAATATTTCCTCTTCCTATTCCTTTCTGCTTTCTCAACAATATCAAACCATATGACAAAAGTTTGCTGCATTAAAAAGATAATATAATTGCTACCTATACTTTTAATCAGTGAGTATGACAAACTCTGCTTTGGTGGCTTGTTCTGCTACTCAAGCAAGCAGTAGTGAATGATTCCAGTTCTGCCCGGTATCGTAAAAGTGCAACATGGTTTCTAAAGCCTTCAGCAGCAGTGCAGTTAAAAAACCCACCAGATGTCAATCACCATTCATGTAAATAAGTCACCCCAGCCCTGCTCCTGTGAATGCTCCCTTCTTTCTTTACTGAAACACAAAGCATTGGTAATTATGAAAATGCTATGCTTCTGAATCTTATGTGAAAATTTTTAATTTTATGGTACACATAATTTTTTATCTTAAAAAAGTATTAATACAGAAATTCTGTATTTACCTCAGTACTTTGGTAAACACCAGGACTATATCTCTGACTCTTTTGACCAATTACTTCCAACTTTTTCCCATACTTCCTGTCTAACACTTTCCCTCCCATTTACATATCATAACTCACATTTAATTGTCCTAAATGAGTTAACATTACTATGTGACAAGAAGCACGAAATCTAAATTTTGAAGATCAGCATTGAAGAAATTAAAAATGATTTTCTTTATCACTGAAAAATGCTGTCCATGGTATTCATTTCAAGGCTGACAATACCCATTAAAAACCTAAATTACACTCAGAAGTAAATTCTCATTTAGAAAACCATCGCCTGGGAAAATCAATAAGTGTCATTTAGATTCCAATGAAAATGTCAGACATTCTTCATGGCTGTTCCAAAGTAGTTATTAAATCAAACACACACACACAAAAAAAAAAAAAACTAGTGATTTTTTCCCCCTCCATTTTCGGTCTGGTGGTTTTTATGGGTATCAATTATTTTAGGATTCAGTGATCATCCAAGAATGGTATTTCATCTCTTTGACTACTACCCTACTGCCCATATTTTAACCTCATTGAATTTTTGGTCCATTGCGTAGAAGAATTTCTCTACTAATAAAAATACAACTATTAAAGATTAACTTACCCCCAGGACAGTCTTCTGCAAACAAATTCCAAGCATTATAATCACCAATTTACACTCTGAAGACTTAAAGGCCAACAATCTTATTCAGACTTAAAATGGAAAACCCACACATATTTTAAGGCTATTGTAAAAAGAAAAATAGCCAACCCAAATTCACAATAATCAGAAACTCAACCAGACAAATATAACCTTTACTTGCTTGACCCTTTCCAAAAGAAAACTTTTCCGCCCAAAAATAACTAACAAATTTGTTGACTTGCCGGACTTCCTACTATCTTGTTTTCGATTTTGGTTCGGCAATTACGAATTTGCAAAATTCTTCTTTTCCCAGCTATTTATAAAGTTTATGCTATATCTTACAAATTGTGGTAGACACTAGAAACCACTTGAATCCATGATGCAATATTTACTATTAAAAGTAATAAAAATGGCTGATATTTATGAAGCTCTTATGATTTATTATCACTATAACAAATTTTAGCTTAATGGGCACTATCTGTTTCCTTCTCACAAAAGCCTAAGAGAAAGTCCTCATATTAGCCCCATTTTACACATGAGAAAATTGAAGGCAAGGAGAGATTTAGAAACTGTCCCAAGATTCCATAGGGATTTGAACTCACATCTGAGTGACTCTAGTGCTCACATATGCTATAACCACCTGGTATAAGCAATAAGGCACTTGATTACATTTGGTTCAGGAAATTAGTCATTCCTTGAACAAGGGTGATTTTACATAATTTGATACTGGGAAGTATGCATCATAAAATGTACACTGTGCATTGGGTTCTACTGTCAAATGTGTTCAAATTTGCATTCATGAAAGTGGTAATTCATTTATAGGTGATTTTGGAAAGTTAATCAAAGTATTAGGTTCAAAATCACTAAGTAAATATTTTATTATATACAAGTAGCTGAAGACATGTTAGCTCTATTATCTGTAAAACAAACTATCACTGTAAAGCAATTTTAAACGATTGGACGTCAAAATAACATATCTATAAAGGAGTCAGTCTTCAAATTTTAAAAAATGCCTCACCCATATTTCATAGTATTCAAAATGAAAGTGAACTAACTCAAAAAAAAAATCCACTTCTAAAGCTCAGATTATACATGTGGGCTTTCTAGAAGGTTACATGACTGCTGTCATTTGTGCAAGTTAAAAAGGTAAGCATGATATAACATGAGAAAATGTTATTATTAGAAAAAGGCTGGAAATTTTTCACATAACTCCAAACTCATGGAGAGAACACATTGGAAATTGTTGAAAAGGATGCATAATATATGGTCTTGATTCAATCCAATATATTTTTACAACATAAATTTAATATTTTTATAATCAAAAACTAGACAAAAAGAACTATGGAACAAATGAAATTACCAAAATGAGTTACTGAAATGAAATTGAGGCTTTATTTTCCAAAACCACCTGGTAATAGTCTTATTTGAACAGTTTATCACAGGAACAACTCTCTTAGAAAGTTATGTAATTTGAGGGAAAGAGAGACATGAGAAGTATTAGGGATGTTTATCAATAAATATAAGCGACAAGGGAGACAGTTTGTAGCACATCCAAAGACTCCTGCCAAACACTCTTGCTATTTGTTTCCACCGAGTTATTGTTTTGGAAAACATGTTGTTCTCTCTTAAAATAACCTGCTTAATTGTTCTAAAAACCCACTGGATTACCACCAAGGGCTAACTCGCTCCCACAGTGCGATATACTGACTGATAAAGTCAAAGTAAGTTATGCATAGAACCACAAAAGAAAGTTTGGAAAGTTCCAAACCCCCGTGATCAAAGGACACTAGCTACTGAATGAATCTTCACCACCATTGCTTAGTGAGTCTAAAGCCTGGTCCTACCACAAATCTTAACAATGATAGTCATTCAAACTACCTCATTTCTCTCTTTGGATGTGGGAGCTGAGCCACGCTAGTGGCTTCGAGTAGGCTACTAATTAACGTTTTTAAGAAAGGTCAAATTGACCTTGGATTTCAGCGTTCACTCAAATCCTCACGTTATAAATCAGAATTTGTCCAGTATAATTACAGCTTTTCTGCCCGGGAAAGTCCCAGAGAAACTTAAAGAGTTAAAAAAAAAAAAAAAAAAAGCCCAAGTTGTGCAAGACAAAGTCAGACACTCATCGCACAGTAAGATTTTTATGAAATGAATGTAACTCACAAGCCTGTTAGAGGATGAACACATACTGTCCTCAAACACAATCCCCACGCTGTGGCTCTCACCGGATCCCGGCCCCTGACCATGGGGTGTGGGGGGCGGGGGCGGGAGCTCCCGTCTTAAGCCTTGACATCTGCAGAGCGTTTCCCAATAGGGAGAGAAGGCCCCTCAGCTGGAGGAAGTGGATACTGACAAGGGGAGAAAGCGAAACGTGCAAGAAAGAAACAAAACTAGAATTCTAGGCGGCCCGGGAGTGAGACGACAGACACGCTCACTCTGGCGGTCCGAGTGCGTCGGGATGACACAGCCCAGGTGTCCGGGCTCCAGTTGGCATCCGTCTCCCAAGTCTAGATCCCAACCTGGGCGCGCTCGTACAAACACTCGGCCTTCAGCTCTTCGGAGCCCATCCAGTTAGCCCAGGGCCCCGGTGCCTGGAGACCTGAGAGGAGTGGAAGGGTAGGGGGTCCCTCGAGGTCCCCATTCCCTGTGTCCTCCGGCCCGCGGGGGAGGGGGCTGGGACGCTAAACCCGGTGTGGGCCGGAGTAGCGGGACCTGGGGCGGAGATGTCCGGAAAGGAGTTGGGGGCTCAGCCCGGGGAGTCCAAGGACGCGGGGGGATGCCTACCTTGTAACATGGCCTCAAGTTTCTTCCTGTCCACGCGGAAGCGCTCTTCGCTCCACTCGGGGCTGTGCAAGGGCGCTCCGGCGACCAAGTCGTCCTCGGACCCGGGCA